ATGCCCGTGTGTTTTTATAAAAAGATCACAAGATGGAGTTGTGATAATTGTTGTCTATGTCGATGATCTTAATATTATTGGGACTACAAATGAAATTCAAGAAGCAGTCACCTTACTAAAAGGCGAATTTGAAATGAAAGATCTCGGACAGACCAAATATTATCTCGGCTTACAAATAGAACGGGTCCAAAATGGGATATTTGTCCATCAATCTAATTACACTCAAAGAATACTGAAACGATTCAATATGGACAAGGCGAATCCACTTAGTACTCCAATGGTCAATCGAACATTAGATATTGAAAAGGATCCATTTCGACCTTGTGAAGAAGATGAAGAAATACTTGGTCCTGAAATACCATATATGAGTGCCATAGGAGCTCTTATGTATCTTGCTAATTGCACCAGACCAGATATAACTCGGCACCTACAAGAAGGCATTGGAATGGAATTAAGCATATATTCCGTTATCTCCAAGGGACAATCGATTTGGGACTGTTTTACGCTAACGATAAAAAACATGAAATGATCGGTTTTGCATATGCAGGATATCTATCAGACCCCCATAAAGCAAGATCTCAAACCGGTTACGTTTTCACAATTGGCGGAACTGCATTTTCTTGGCGTTCCCAGAAACAAACATTAGTTGCGACGTCTTCAAACCATGCTGAGATCATTGCACTTCATGAAGCAAGTAGAGAAAGTATCTGGCTCAGAAACATGACTCAACATATTCAAAAAGCCAGTGGACTATCGAACAATAATGACCCGACGGTGATATACGAAGACAATGCAGCATGTGTCGCTCAAACCAAAGAAGGATACATCAAGAGTGACAGAACTAAACATATACCGCCAAAGTTATTCTTATATGCGCAAGAGCTTGAACGAAACAAACAAATCAAAGTTCAATACATCCGATCAAGCGATAATGCAGCAGATTTGTTTACGAAGGCGCTTCCGACGACAATATTTCAAAAGCACGTGCACAATATTGGGATGAGGCATCTTCGGGATTTGCACGGATGATAATTCTAGGGGGAGTATGTGCAGCTGTACTCTTTTTTCCTTATCTCGGTTTTTTCCCACAGGGTTTTTCCAGATAAGGTTTTTAACGAGGCAGCATAAATGCACATTTAATAGTGGTAATTCCAAGGGGAGTGTTATAACAAGTGGAATTTTACCACTAATAAATGTATTACTTTATCTTATCATTTGCATAGAATTGTGTGCATCTAATTAATAATGATGAAGTTTTGCCTATAAAAGGCAAGAGAAGGGTTCCTCTATTTGTACATACGAAAGTGAAGAAACAAAAGGCAAAAAAAGTTTGAGTTATATCCGATTTTTATACATTGTGTTTTTTATATTCCTCGCATTTCATAACAGTAATGACCAAAATTTTCCTATAATCACATATTCTCATAGATGGCCACAACGTTTTATATAAATCAGAATTTGAACAACTTTCCTGCAATCGAAACCAGTAATCAACCAATGCATTGATTTTTCCAGTGCTGCAAATTGCCAAATTGAAAAGCCCCTCGCCAGCTTTCAAACCGGTAAAACCCCTCCAAGAAACTCAACAGACGAAATATGGAACACCGTAAAAGTAAAACTGGAGAACTTTAAAAGTACAGACGGCAAACCATACATTGCCCTTATTCTCTTCAGCCTTGCACATCACTTACTACCAATCACTTCACACTAACCAAAAAAGTTAATGAAACAACAAACAAGTGTATTCTACAGTCTACACTACGAAGTGGGCGACGTAGAGTATAAAACAGTGAAGAATCTCTCGACCTCTGGAATGTTCCGGATTATTTGGATATACCTACTTCTATTGGGTTCGGTTAGAAGAAACTGAGATATATGAGCTATTCTTGGTACAAGTCTGGCAAGCGGCATTCCAGGCATTAAATTGTTTTCTCCACTATGGATGATTACATCTTCCAACAATCCATTAACCACAGCTCTCAGTGATATGTCGATAATATTGGAAAATTCCGCACTGTCCAAACAAAGAGAAACCAAGAATGTCACATGCAGACTAAATTCTGTTAAACATCAAATCAGATGTCAATAATAAAGCAAAGCTTTATGAGCATCAACATGCAACACACTAGTCTTTATATCCTATGTCAAAATTTAACATGCAGTGTGGTACGACACCCTGGTTTACAACTTCGGTGGAAAGAAAGAGAGATGTCATACTCGGGCATATTTAAGAGCCCCAGTAACCTGGTAGGCATCTGGGAGCAGGTGGTGCTCTCTCACACCAAAACATACTTTGACAAAAATAAAAACGAAATATGAGTCATGCAACATCTTCTGTGTATCTTACGAGAGTAAACTTCGAATGGGGGGATAATTGTAAGGTACGGTAATCTTAATTTTTTAAACTTCGAATGGGGGGATAATTGTAAGGTACGGTAATCTTAATTTTAAAATAATAGGCTGCACACACACACTAGGAAGATGCACATGTATTATTGCTCTTTTTAATGATTTAAAATTATTTTTATTATTAAATTTATAATTATGGTATTATTTAATTATCTTCCCATTATTTACCAAAAGAGAGTATTTTATAATAAACAACATTAAATACATTAAATGCTGAAATAAAATGTTCAATATTATTAACTGAAAATCTGAACGCTATGATAAATAAAACCAAACAAAAATTTGTGTTGGATATCCAAAATGAAATTAATATATATATATATATATATATATATTGTGAAATTTTGAATGCTTAATAAATATGTCGTCTTTGATTAATCAATTGTATCCTCAATTTTCTTGAAATAATGATTTTGTGTTGTCATCTTTAATACAGTTGGTAATGTTTCATGCTCTTTGAAAATTGACCAGAATTTTCTATAACTATTATTTGTAACGACCATTTGTGGTACTGTCAATTGGAAGCTAACCAATTTTTTTTGGACGTTTCATCCTCCTATATTCATTTAATTTCAGTAGTTGCAAATTTAATTGTGTCTGCAAGTTCAATACTTCATAATACTAGACATATATTTTCTCCCAAGATGTAATGAGACATGAAAAACGAATGAATATTACAATGCCTTTAAAGTTATTTACTTGAGAAATATTAAGAAAGAGTAACATCCTATCAAAGTTGCCCATTATAATTGTTGTCTAACATTGATTGATTGAAGTTATCCATCTATATACATAAAGCATTTTACATCTCCAAACATTGCCACACATGCACTATCATTTTCTTTCACGAACATTCAAGACTCCTTAATATGAAATAATAATAATAATAATAATAATAATAATAATAATAATAATAATAATAATAATAATTCTAGGTTAAATGAATTATAAATGTTGATCCTTCCATATTTCATTTTTATCTTGATATTGTCTTTACATTTTCACCGATATTGTTATATAGCTTATGTTCCCTACTTTTTAGAAGTGATTTGAACATTTAATTTATGAATGATATTATAAATACGATTTGACTAATGACAACAAATTTGAAGTAAATGATTTTAATCGTAACTATTTTGTAATAAGTATAAGTATTTTGAAACTCAAGATTCCATCGAGTTTTGGTTATTTTATTTTATTTTTATAATTACTCAATTCTTATTGATATTACAGTAAAAGTAAATGGTTGATTAATCCACGTAACACATTGCCAGAAAAGAACATTTATACCGTGCATAATATTTACGCATATTAGGAGGATTTAAATAGTATTATATGTGAATAACTTAAACAAAATATTTCTATTTATGAATCTAAAATAACTTTTTCCCCCCCCCAAAAAAAAAAAAAACGACATTTTGTATGTATGTATGCTGAAAGATTATTTTTGTATTAGATCATTCATAAACATATGATGCATATGCACGACATTGTTCCTCTTCATAGTTTTTAATACTATAGCCAAAAATCCCTATAGTAAACAATAGTAAATAATATGATATTTAAAGATTTGAGACTTTCGTTAGTGCATTATGTATTTTACATTTATGAAATAAGATATATTTTATTTGAAATAAATGGTAAAATAATATTCTCTTACATTCAAAAACTATATTTAAAATAACTAAATTGAAACACGTCATATGTAGAATATTTGAATAGTATAATTTTTTAATTAACTTTGTACATGTTAAAAAAATAACTATTAAATACACAAAAGTATATAATAAAATTTGAAAAAATCAAAGATATACAAAGTTAAAAAAAAAAAAGATGAAACAGAAAAGTAAATTAAGAAATAGAGGTTTAAAAACTTAACTATTCTAATTTTCTAGGAATAACAAAAAATTACTTTACTAACTTTAAAACTTACCCTTAATGAGTGTGTATTTTGCAATTCAAAAGTTTCAAGGAACTATTCTTCTTTTAAGAGAGTTATGATAAATAAATACAAATAAAAAATGGGTTGAAAGTACAAAAGAAAAAAAAAATATGAATAGAAGTAAATTAAATAATGGAGGTTTAAAATGTTAAAAACTATTGTTACTTCCTAACTTCATGAAAGAAATACATTACTAACCATAAAACTTATTCTTAATGAAGGTTTATTGGCAATTCAAAAGTTTATATATATATATAGTTCATAATACATTACCAAAAAAAAAAAATATATCCTCGATAATTCTATATTTAGAACTCGTGAACTTGTAAAAACAACCATACCTTGATAACACAGCACGTGTTTCCACCATAAGTAAATCAAATTTCGTGGCGTGTGAAAGATCCGAGGCACAACTACTTGAGGGCTGGTAAATTCCAGCATCTTCGGGCATCAAATAACCGATCCAATGATGAGGGCTCCTCATGACCATTAAAGTCTCCAAAATGTGAATAATTGTATCATGAAGGACCGAAACATTGAAAAATTCCTTCAACTGCTTGCTGCACAAGTGGGTGAAGCTAATAAGTAGATTAAAGAGTGTGTTTATATTCATTATAAGGAATTAAGAATTCAAGAAACTAGGAATCCTTCGAGAAATGTCACTTCCAAGAACTCCATCTCTGATAAAATATAATTGTTTTAACTTTTTTCCATAAAGGTATCATAAAGGCATATACAAAAGACTCAAGTTAGATGTCATTCGGCTAAGACCCATATATCCTTGGCAGACTACTAAAATATCTAATGTGGTCCAACTTAAATAATTTAGATAAAACCACCTCTCCTTCCCGTCTACTAAAAGGATTTGAGTAACGGTCCTACCCTGCTTCTAATGCCTGGACTCTTGTTAGACTCCGAGCATAAATAAATTACATAAATTCTTCAAGACTTGAAATGACCTTCAACCACCAATATTGATCTCACATTTCCTCATCAGAATGTCTACTTCATACTCATTAAAAAGGATGTTCCCAACAGCATCATGATGATAGTGATGCCACCAAGAGCGCACATTAAGAAGCCAAGTATTGATGAAATTAGTCACTAACTACTATAACCAGAAAACTGTAGGTGCATTTTCTAGGATTTAATCATTTTGCTCCTTTCAGACAGTGTATATATATATAGGATTCCCAGATTCACTGAAATGAAGTAGAAGAAAAGAACCGATACTCAGAATGATCTCTTAAGTGATTCCTACGAACTCAATTAAGTGGAGCCTTCTATGAACTTCTATTCAATTCCTTTACTTGCTATCTTACCGGGGTATACATATATATATGTATCAAGTTCTTAAAATATGAATGTGAGTCCAAATTCTAGCAATTCAAGAGAAATATAATTGTGCATTTGTGCACTTTTCAATATACATTAAAAATATTGGTGAATAATTGACCAGTAAAAATATTTAAATAGTTAAACATAACTTGAATTTCGTATTACTAGTATTTAATCCTGTGCAAATGCACAGATATAAAACACGTTTTTGTTTGTATTTATTAATTAGACATGTACTTCTATCATATTATTTTTTCTTAAGTTATTTTTCTCATGCAAAATTAATTGAAATTTAAATATTATTTTAACCATGCAACTTTTACAATAGTAACATGAATAAAATAATTTATATATTTGTGGCATATATTAAGAAAATTAACATAAATAAACAATTATTGGTGTTTATGATTTTTAGGAAAAAAAATATGTGTCAATCATATTTTTTTTCAACAATGCAACTAAATATAGTGATTACAACTCTGGATGTGTCAATCACCTTTAAGTTCCAACATGCCGTTACAAATTTGAATATTTTGCTACCAAATTTAGAATTCAATTAGTAGTAGATCCAAAAAATAAATAATAAAAATATATATATTGAGGTGTAACGGTTTTAGCAGATTAATGAGTAATTAATTAAAAAAAATGTAACTCCTTTTGGAGGGAAATGAAAATAGATTTTATTAAATATTTTATTAAATGCATTAGCTAGTAATTATATATGTATATATATATATATGTATATTATTAAAAAACAATTGTTTATAAGATTCTAAAGTTGTTTAACTATGCTATTAAAACAATTTACTAATTGTTTTTAAAGAAATTTTTTTTATGAGATACAAAATAAAAAGATAATATTGATGTTAAAATACATAACTTGAAACAATTGCTTATAATTATGTAATTTATATTTATTGTGAATTATTATTAGTTGGTATTAGCAATGACTATTATATAATATAATAGAAACATACATGATTACACTCATTAAGATGTATTAATGTGAGAAATAAAAAATATTAATGACAAATTTTGTAACCGAAAATGGAGGGAAAATTTTAGAGGTTTTATTAAATGTTTTATTAAATGCTACATGCTAGCAATTATATATATATAGATTGTCCCAAATGAGCACTCATATACTTCCAAACATGCATTATCAATGATATGCTGCTAGCTTAGATATCGATTGATGCATATTTTTATTTTCAATGACGATAGTTTTTTGTAATCAATTTACATCCACTAAATCTAGATCAATGGATGGTTGTGACTTGTGATTCATCCCCACGTTCTCATTTAAGAATGAGTTTCATTGAAACCACTATATACATATATATTAGGTCTAGAGTTTCAACTTGTCTTAGAATGCAAAAGGGCAACCTCGCAAAGGCAGAAAACTAATGTCTTTCCGTTATGTTTCTAGCGACTTCCCTTAACATGCCGTTATATTTTACAGAGAGGAATTGCTAAGGACAAAAGCTTGATAGTTTATGAATAATCATGTTGCCACCAAGGATACTTTCTTAGTTCAGAAGTGATTAAATGCAATCTGGAAATGTGCACCAAGGCATTCCCCACAAAATTGAGAAATTTGATTAAGAGAATAAACAGCCAGCTCTGTGCACCAAACTTGTACTCAACCTAGAGTAGAAACATTTCCGCCTCGAGTCAAGATGCAGACAAGTTCTAATAACTAAAGAAAGAAGAT